GCTGAAGTCCCTCAGCCCTTAAAGGGGAAACGTTGCCTACCCCTGGCTCTAGTCCATACAGAACATTTGGGGAAGTGAGTGTAGCTTAGTTGCAGATGCACCTATTTTACATGCAGGAGGTTACCAATTCTACCTCTGGCATTTTCAATTACAAAACAAGAAGAAAGCACTGGGCAACAGATGAGAGGAATGGCCCTTCTCTGAACAAGAACCCCGGAAAACCACTAGGAAGCAGAGGTAAACAATACCAGGTGAAACAGACAAACTTGATAAAAGGTAGGTACTTTATTCCTACTGAATACTGCCATACAACACTAAATGCCAATTATTTCTCTCAAACAGTGCTCACCATGATCAATAACACTAGGGAAAGGTAATTTGTATCTCTTTCCAGATGTAAAATTGCATTTCTAGCATTTTTCCATTGGCTATATGCTGGCAAGAGCTGATGGGACTCCAATCCAATAACATTTGGAGGGCCACACTTTGTCTAATCTTGCACTATACCACCAGCCTTGTGCTCAAATCAGCAATGTAGTATGTTCTTTAACTGAAGGTTAAAGAATGGGTCAGTATATATTACTCACCATGGCACTACCTTTACACAGTGATGGGACTGCATGCTCCAGTGAGGCAAGAGGCTACATTGACAGCATCAGTGCAATTGATAGGATCCCCCATGTCAAACAGATTTTTTGGTTGAGGAGCCAGCCTAAATGTGTCAAACAGATTTTTTGGTTGAGGAGCCAGCCTAAATGTGTCAAACAGCTATTGGGCAGAGACAATGGCAGTGGCACCATAACTAACACTTGCCAGTACTGTGCAGGAGGAAGCACATTAAGACCCTTTTGAATATCTTACCATGAAAACCTTACAATGAGACAAACCAAAATGAAACAAGAGATCATGCTGTAAGATGAAACTCCCAAGTTGAAAGGCACTCAACAAACTACTGGTAAAGAAGTCAAGTGCGATTTGTGCTGTAGCTAATGTCACAACTAGACTCTAGCCAAAAGGACATTCTGCTGTTGACATATTCAGAGGCAAAAGGAAAGTCCAAAGCTTTGGCTTCAAGGGAAGCTAGACATATTAAAAGAAGAAATGGAACCTATAAATATTGCAATACTTGCAATAAAGTGGACAGGATGGGACATTTTGAGTCAGGTAATTACACAGCGTTTTACTCAGGAAATGAAAATTTAAGAAGAAATGGAGTGGCATTTATAGTGAGAAGAGATGTATCAAAAGCAGTCAAAGGATGCTGACCAAATGCAAAGTCTGGCCAAACAATCCATGTTTATGCTCCAACTACAGAGGAAAAAGATGAAGAAATTAAAAGATGGAATGTGAATACTAAAGTTAGGATTTTCCATGTCACTGTACTTCCAATTTCTATGTATGGTTGTGAAAACTGGAAAGCTAATAGGAAGAAAATAAACTCATCTGAAATACAGTGGTGAAGAAGAGTTCTATGGATACTGAGGACTGATAAAAAGACAAATAAATGGGTCCTAGAGCAAATCAAGCCTGAACTCTCTCTTGAAGCTAAGATGACTAAACTGGGACTGTTGTATTTTGGACACATATCATACAAAGACATGACTCACTAGAAAAGACAATAATGCACATTAAGGTAGAAGGCAGAAGGCAGTAAGAAAAGAGGAGGACTGCATTACAGATGGATAGATTCAATCATGTAAGCCACAGCCCTGAATTTGCAAGACCTGAGCAGGGCAGTTGATGGGACCTGTAGAGGTCTCAAGTGGACTTGATGGCAGTTAACAACAACAATCTCTTATTAAAATCAACAGACAATATGAGCCTGGAACATAGAGGGGACCTTTTCCTAGGAAGAGTTACTCTCTTTTGACCAGTCAGCTTGTGCTGTAGGTTCCCCCGCCCCTTGAAAAACCGCTTGGAAATATAGCACAACCATAAAGTCCTTTGTTACAACATCTTTGCCATAAAGCTACAAAACCTTAGCTCCTAAGTATATTAAGTTCTTATAAACCTGCCTTCATTTTAACCATGTAGTATTTCAAGATGCAAATTGCCTCTTCCAAAAAGACAGCACTTTAATGAGGAGATGGATAAAATATATAAGCCAAACCTCATTATGACATAATTTCTGGAAGATGAGCAACCCATTATAAAAGAAAGTTGTGGCAGTCTTGTTTAATTGGATCTCAAACATTCAGAAAGGGCCACAGTGCTATGAAGAATGCAGAAAGGCAAGCAAACTGAAGTCTTGCAAACTGGCACCAAACAGGCAACTGCAATCTCAGTGTAGGCAGGTATAGAGATGTAAGAATCCTTAAGACAGTTCACAGCTAAAAAACAGTAAGCATTTGTTCCTGTGTGCCTTCAAGTCATTTCTGACTTATGGCAACCCTAAGGCCACCTTATGACAAGGTTTTCTTGGCACATTTCATCAGAGGGGATTTGTCTTTGCCAATGCCATCCTCTGAAGCTGAGAGAGTGTGACTTGTCCAAGGTCACCCAGTGGGTTTACATGGCTGTGCCAGGATTCAAACCCTGTTCTCCAGAGTCATAGTCCAACGCTCAAACCACTATGCCACGCTGGCTCTCACAGTAAACATGGTCCTATTCAAAAGAAAGTGACAGACATTTTTTAAAAAATATTTAAAATAACAAAATGTGTGTGTGTGTGTGTGTAAACAATCTAAGCTGTTGACACCACTTTGTAATGTTTTGTTTTATAAGGAAACTGATTGCAAATTATGAATCAATGCACTTTGATCAAAATTTAAGAAAAAAGCCAGGAACAGTCTACATAGAATACTAGCCTTTGAGCTCCAGTTCTCATCAGCCCTAGCCCGCCTGGCCAATAATAAGACATGATGTGAGTAGAAGTTCATCAACGTCTGGAGGGTTAAACGTTCCCAACCCCTGCGGAAAGTTTTATCTTTGACTATGAACATGATGTGTACTTCTGATTACAGTGTAATGCTGAAATCCAATGCAATCTTATCCTTAATAAAATCTGTGGTTTCCAAAAAATAGTTTCAGCATCTAACCAGACAAATGCTTCAGACATTGCTCTAACTCAGGGACCGGCAACCTACGGCCCGGGGGCCGGTTAAGGCCCCGGTCTTACCAGCCCAGGCCGAAGGTTGCCGCCATTGTCGCCGCCGCGTGCCACTGTTGGTGGGCGTTTTTGCCCCTCTGTGGCCGTGCTCGCTGCGATCGCCATTTTGGAAGTCAAAATGGCAGCCGCGATGCGTTTGCGCATGCTCAGTACTCTTGCGCATGCGCGGCCACGATTTGCACTTCCAAAATGGCAGCCGCGACATGTGCCGCGGTAGCTGCGGCCGCGCGTGCTACGGCTGCGGCCGCGGTAGCAGCAGCATGTGCGGAGGGGGTTGTGCGCGGTGGAGTAGGGTGCGCACGCGCTGCCATTCCCCCCCCCCTCAGCCCAGCCGAGACCTGGGCTACGGGAGACCGGCCCAGGTCTCAAAAAGGTTGCCTGCCCCTGCTCTAACTGGTCTAACAGCAAGAAGAGATGGCAACTGCATTCACTGCACATGCTTAAAACACAGTATTTGAATACGCCCTAAAACTACAAACTCATTTCTTCTGTATTGCATGCAGAATTCTCAGAGAAGGGAAGACAGAAGAAGGTGAGCTTGCATTTTTAGGGTCAGGGCTGATTGCTTGTTTGTGCTGTTTGGAAGCTTCTGTAGGTGCTTTTCTTTATTTGGGTCTGTGTGCTCTGTGGTCTAAGGGGGTGGTGTTTCTGCTGAATTACTGGTTTGGTTGGGGACAGAGCTAGCAGACATTATAGCTGCTGCCTCTGAGGAAACAGAACAATGCAATCTTGTGTTTTGGGGGTCAGGGTTCATTGTTTGGCTCAGGGTTCATTGTTTGGCTGTGCTGTTTGGAGGCTTATGCGGATGTGCTTCTTATTCGGGACCAGGTACTCCCCTTAAGCACATGGGGCAGGGCTTCTGCTGAGCATTACTGGAGTGGCGCTAGCAGGCACTAGCTCTAG